TGGGAGGGGGGGGTTGCGCCAGCTCCGATAGCCTGGTGGTGCTCGGAGTGCTCCTGATTGTGTGGGAACGGTGGGGTGGGGGGGTGGCAGTGGGGCTGCCGGAGGGGCCCCGGCGAGGGATTGTTGGACTTTGGGTTGGGGCTGCGCTGACCTGCTTGGGGGTGTGTGGGGGTGCTGCCGGTGCTAGAGGGGCTCCTGCTATAAGCCCTGCGCTGGAGGGACCTGGCGTCCTCCTGCTTAGGGGGGTGGGGGACGGGACTGAATGATGGGACCAGTCAGGAATCTGGTCCCAGTGAGGAGGACCATTCTAGCCTCCCTATGACCTCTTTCACCTTCCCCCCTTTGGTCATGTCTCACTACATACACCCTTAGGACTCTGGGGGGTGGGCAGGCTGCAGGGCATTTGATGGGTGGGGCTACTTTATTGCAGCCTCGCCCTTCTTCCTCCCCCAGTGGCTGCCCCTCAATTTTAATTACACATTAGACACAGAGGGCTTGGGGGGTGGGAGGGGCACGATGGGAGGTTCCACTACCTGACAGTTGTGGGGTGCCTGTGTCACAACTACCCTCCAATTTTAACTGCACCTTAGTTACCACACACCTTATCTTTACTCCACCATACAACACTTCACAATCCATGACATGCATCCAACACAAAAAAATACATTTACAGAGGCAGGCAGAGGGGTTGAAGGAGTGAGGGAGATTCTCATTGACCTCGTGTCCTGCCCCTGGAGCCCCGGGGTGTCGGGGGTGCCGTGGGGTTGGTGACGGCCTTGCCTGATCTGGGGTGGGCTGAGGGGGGCGTGGCTCCCCTGGCATGGGGGCCCGCTTTGGACCTAGGGATCTGGGGACTCGGGCTTCTGGCTTTTGCGGTTTTACATGCATAATTAAATAAATAATAAAACAGACAAAGGAGTATATTAATACTCTCTCTCTTAAGTAAAATCTGTCTGGCACAATATGGTATCCAGGTCATCATACTCTATACCAGGCTGCTGGGCAGGACAGGTTTAAAAAATATGCTTTTATGAAAAGATTGATATTCATTGTAAAGAAAAGCCTATATATTTGAACCACTTTAACTTAGCCTATGAAAAATGTTTCATTCACAAATACAACATTTCAATATAAATCATATGGGCTACGTTGTTAACCTGTGAATGGTGACGTGACAATGTTAGTGTAGTTTTGAAATAAAAAATCCTACATGTTAATCGCCGAAGTCACACGGAACGCAAATTGAACAAAGGTCCCCCATTGTGTAGCAAAGGGTGTTTGCTTCAACAAGTCGGCAACGGTGCTCACTCGGCATTTGAGTTTGAGGGCATTTGAGGGTCCGCCTCATTGACACGCATGAACGCACAAAAGGAGTGGAAGTATGTAGGTAGAGGGAGTAGCAAGCAGTTTCGGAAAGGCCCCTAGACTAGCTCAACAGTAATGAGAAGCAGGTGTGTAAGAAGGAGGATCAGATAATTAGCAAAAACGGAGGACTTTGAAAACAATGACGCAGATATTCACGTTTGGCTTCCTAATTGGGTCTTATCAGTCATGCAAAGTAAAAACACAATGCTACTAACAGTGTTTTTGTTTTGGTATTTTCATTAAAATATTGGGTTAAATATTGGGTAAAACATTGTATAAAATATTTTACACTTGTACTGTGCAAGTTGCCGGATTTGCTTTGCAATGACTCCCAGTCTACTTTCTGCCACCATAATCGCTTGTACAGAGTTCCACCTTGTTATCAGTCAATGCAAAAAAACCTCTGGTGTAGTTCTTCGCCGTTGCTATTCTTCATTTGTCTCTAATATTACTTTCTTCTTTAGCCGAATCTTCTGCAACTGCGAAGTAGAGAATCTATTTCCTGTTTACACTGGTACGTGCATGCCCAGTGTATGTAATATAGAACTAACATAACAACTATGAACCAGGCCTATGCAGGTGCATATTGTTATCTGAATAATGTGTCCTTTAAATAGCACCTTTAAACTTTAGACCAGGTTTTTGTAGGTCAATGGTGCAATTGCTGCTACTCAAGATAGCAATGCACCAACAATGTGCCACACCACCGTATTTTAAGACCAACACTCCCATGGGCACACAGATGGCCTCAAGTACATTTGCTATTTACACAACGTTTCTTTACACAGATGCTTAACATCATGTGACCCTGCTCCTTTCTTTTAAACATTTTATTCACATCCCCTCCAGTAGAGTGCTTCCCATGATGTGTGATGTCCCTTTGATGAGTGTGCAAAAAAAGTTCCTCCTCTCTCTCTTTAGACGGCTGTGGCTTTCTGAGAGAATCTGTGTGTGTGTGTGTGTGTGTGTGTGTGTCTGTGCACATACACTTTATGAGCCTGTTTTTGTCTTCTATCAAAGCATCTCTATACGTGAGCAGCACTGCAGTATCAGGCACAGTGTTGCAGCTCTTTGGCTCAGTGTTACATCAGCCATCAAACAGATATGCAGCTCTGTAGCAGTTCAGACCAATGTATATATCACCAGAGTCATTGAGGCAAACCAAGCCAAGCGCTCCAGAGTCAACCTAACAAATGCCATCTAAAGAGGGGACAAACCGCAAGACAACCAAAGTAAAAAGAATAAAACCAACTAAGGCAACCCACAGCAAAAGAAAGTGGTGAACTGTAAGAGAACAGACAGACACAATGAATTTAACTCAAACAAGTCCAAACTAACTTGATATGCTCTGGAGACCAGGCTGCTTGATGAGGCTAATCTGAGCAGTCCTGAGCAAATGTGGGTAGGATAAAACATGTCAGAGTAAACCAAACCAAACCACAAAACACCAAAACACCCACTGACAGAGAGCCCAAACATGATCCAATTTAAAACAGCCAAATAAAATAACCAATCTACTGACTGGCCAATTGACTTTCCAACAGTTTCATGCCGATCCATGCAGTAGAAGTGCTCCAACTGTGAATCACATAACATCTGATCCTCATACTTTGCAACTCCATATTTTTCTTATTGTCAACAAATTCCCCCAAAAGACAAAAAACACAACTATTAATTGAGTATTGTCTGTGACTAAAAGTAAGCTGCATTGGCCATGTCCACACAGTAAGTGAACCCACAGCAACTGTGTGGAGATGGCCGATGCAGCTTACTTTTAGTCAGTCCCAAAAACACTGGCCTCCTGTTATTAATACTCACTACAACACCAAATGTGTATCAATCTGTGCCTAAAAATAGTCCTCAACAAAAGCCTTATTTACTTCTGTTTGAGGTTTGTTTTCTAAAACTACAGTGCTGAGACATTTTATGTGAGTACTACTCATTTCTCCTCTTAAAAACTTTAACTTTATATTCACGGTTTATGTGTGTATATTCATATACCAAGGGATTTTGGAAAATTGGAGGAGAGGTGAAAAGTCACTATTAATTTGATTTGTAAATGTAAATGTAAATGCTCCGTACTTGTATAGCGCCTTTCTAGTCTTTTCGACCACTCAAAGCGCTTTTACACTACATCTAGTAATCTAGTAATATAATAGGGGAATGAGAGGTTAAATTTGGATTCATCTGATGTCTGTTTCATGAAAAAGTTAAGTTAAGGAAAAGTTCAAATTGTGTATCATCTCTATGAGACAACATGAAATCAATTTTCACATTACGTGAAGTTGGTGCCCATTGTGTCTGTAGGCTTGCAACTTACTGTAAAATGCAACACTGAGTTATTGGAAATGATAAATTGCATTTCACTGATACACATCCTGTACTGGCTCTTGTGCTCAACTTAACTTCCTGTTTACAGCTCCAACATCCCACAAACCCCTGCTCCTCTAATAGGAAATGCTACACACAGACCCAAAGCATGCAGGCAGCTGTAAGTAACATGGAATTTTTGCTTTCCTGTGTAACCTGTGAGACTGAAGTGTGGACATTTGCACAGGATCTTACTTTAGTTTGGGTGTGTGTGTGTTGAAAAAGCCTACAATGTGTGTACGCTCAAGCACATAGTATGACTGATATGTATGTCATATTGATACTGTTTTGTCATTTGAATGCTCCTTTTATAGGCTGAGACTCTTGTATAATCCTCAGGGCCCAGCTGTTCAAAAGTAATCTGATCGGACTTCGGCTACCAGATTGGATCAAATCTGGAAAATGGGTTGGGATTTTGAAATTGGATCAGATCACCTAATACAATCCTGGTTGTGATCTGGATCAAACCTTCAGTTTGTGTTGTTCAAAACTTTTTAGTAGAATTGGAATCCCCTTGATCCAAAAAATCAGGATGATCCTGATCCCAACATAAGGGTGGATTCAGGGTGGATTTCAGGGAACAAAATGTTGTAAAACATTTAAATTTTTCCAAATAATATAACATTTTATTATGTAGGAGTCTATTTGCACATTTATTTATATTATGTACTTGATTTGTTTAAACTTAACAGTGATAAAGTAGACATTACCTATAAGCCTTTCAGTACAGTAAAGGGGGGGGGGGGGGGGTCTGACTGTTTGAAGAAATTGAAAATGGAAAGAAAGGGTTGTGGTGTTTTATTGTACATTTTCTGTCTCTTCAAAAAAAAGTGACCCCCCTGCTGGCTGTTCTACTCGTTGGTCTTAATATAATCAACAGCGTTTTGACATATAGTCCCATTTAGAACACTGAAAATCCAGATTTGGTAATCCTGAAAAGTTTGTATCTGGATCAAGGTGATCCAATCCAATGATGGTTTCGGACAACTGGGCCCAGGATATGTAAGACCAACTGGATGGAAGTGAACATGTATGTTCTTGCTGTGTACTATATACTTGTTTAAGGCCCTGACGTGACATTTTTGACTCTTTGATAATGCTGTGTTCCTCTAGAGATTCCCCCTCCTGCCTTCATTTTTTTGTATGATAGGAGGAAGACCATGCGTGAATGCTGAAACAGGATCCTTTGTTTAACGAAAAACAGCTCATGGGGAATTTGCATGGTAGGAATTTTTTCACTTTACAAACACACAGGAACAAAATCATAGACAACTGCTTCAGTTATTTCTTTATCAGTAGACCTACCCGGGGTCATATTTGTCTGTGCTTTAGCTGCAGAAGAGCTGACATAAAAAGGATAATAGGGACCACAGAAGGAAAATTTCTGGTAAGATCTTAATGGACTTTAACTAATGCGAGATTGTGTGGTGTGTGGACAGAGAGGACCCAAATGCAGCACTCTGAGGGAAGGAGGTTTGAGGGACTGGAGTGGAGGGAGAGGAGGACGTCAGGGAAACACAGGCACGGGGAACCAAGGAGCCTGGGGGCCAGGGAGCTGGGGAACACTGGCGCCGAGGTAGCGAGGAGCGGTGGGAGGACAGGGAGGACGCCGTGGATGAGCCCAGCCGACTGAACAGAGGACGAGGGTGAGTGTACCTGGGAGGGAAACAGACAGAGAGACAGGGTTAGAGATAACAGAGACAAAGCACAGGGTAAATGTGAGAGTAAAACAAGAAACATGAGAGCCTGAATGTGGAGGTGGCACCGGGTATGGAGCAACGACGATCAAGCAAGGATGGTGTGGAGAACCGGGGTTGAAATAGAGGCAGGCATGAGGTGATTACTGGCAGGTGTGGCAGGCTGACGAGGTGGCTGATGAGATGCAGGTGCAGGTAGTTGGCTGGGCTCAGGAGCAGAGGGAGAGAGAGCACACAAGGGAGAAAACACAGGGAACAGAAAACCAAGGAAAAAAGCAGAATAAATGATAAAAAGGAGAAAAAACCAGGACACTCACGGTCAGCCGGGCTGCCACCACAACAATTGTTAATAGTTTGATTTGTGCTATTTAATTTACATTGCCCCACACTTTGGAAAATGTACCATGGATAGTTGATATTTAACTTTGTTTTGCAGTCTGGACTTTGATATTCTTGTTATATTTAGGATTTTGTACGTTTGAATTTCATCAGCTCTTTCGTGGTCTGAGTTTGTTCACAAAGTCACAAGTACATCTTCGTATCTTCCCGTTCTTACTACATATCCTGTGCCCTTTTGTTGTCAGTAAAAGTGACATGCAAGTGTGACAAATGTCATGTGAGTCTGTGAGGGCAAAAGGGCAAAATTGCTAACAAACAGATCAGGAAGTCAGTCAATTTATTTCTGATAAGTACTGAACTGTCACTTAGAAATGCTTTTTTCGATTTTAAACATGTCTTTTCACCAAACATTAAGAAAACAGCACTAAAATAGATTTATTTTTAAATGTCGATGTCACTAAACCATGTAGAAAATATTGGAAATCCAAATTAACAGTTTTGACTTTGCTCTGGGATGGTTGGCACTCAGCCCAGGCTGCTGCCTCTCTGCCCTCAGGGTTAATGACAGGTTTGTCTCACACAACATATAATCGCTGGCAGTTAGCAGAGCAAACACGTCATTCAGTGACTAACAGCAAGATTCAGTGTTATTCTGCCTCATGATATTCCCTCAAACAAACGAAGCTGTTATTGCCTTGTGGTTTAAGAAAAGTTAAATGACCCCTTTTAGGAACTTTTCAGGAGTTTGTATCCTGGTTAAGGATGAGGGTGTGCAGAGAAAGGGTTTGCTCATAGTTAAATTGAATCACTTGCATGGAAAGACTGTCAAAGCTGATTGTTGCATAACATCATGTCTCTGACTTATGCTCTTGTTAGTCGAACAGGGAACTGAATGCAGCCTACGTTTTTCCTAATGTGTCGTAGCTGTAACTAACATTGAAGCCATTAAGCCAACATTAACACTGAAGTCATGTTTTTAGAATTTGTCCTGGGATTTTGGTGGTTTTAGCAACCTGAAGGAAGTTTATAGGTGGGGCTACCAGCAGAGTTTCAGGAGCAGGACCACACATCGATGATGTCACTCCCGGCTTTCCGAAAATACCCACACAACGCACTCCCTCTTCTTCACTCTTGCATTCCGCACCCCTCCCGCCCACCCCTTTCTCTGTCCAGTCTTCTCATCTCCTTCCTCTACATAGGGTTATAGCTCCCCACAACGCTTTTGAGTGTCTATTCAGCTACTTCAAGCATCATACATATTCTGTTTGTTTATCAATAAATCATTTAATCGTATCTGTTGATTGTGGTCCTTGCTAGTGAATCTACAGTTAAAAGCTACACATCATTGGGGCAGATTCTAGTATTTCCAGACTCAATAGATTTGTGACTACATTTAGGTTAACAAAAATGAATAAAGAATTTAGTGTTTCCCTACCACAGCTGTAATTGTGGTAGTGAAACACTAAATTGGATAACTAGGGAAAAAGTATGGAGAGAGATTTGAAACAGAATTCATAATTTCATTTTAAATAAAACATACATGACAACAAACATGGCAGTAAGCAACTAAATTTAAAAAAAAAGGTCGCATTGGTCATACTTCAATCATGACCTCAGTAAAAATCCTGTTTACAGCCCTGATAGTAACGCACTGACTATTGTTCCAGACAAGAGGTGTTGTTGCTCTTATAGCTGCAAACTAGTGCAGCTGTTTAGGTGATTCTCATGTGGTATTGAAAGCATGGGTTAAAATGTGCATTTAATGGTAAAAAATCCACCCCATGTTGCATTGATAACTTTGGCTAACACAGAGTGCAATGGCTTCTGTTAGGTTTCCACCATGGATTGGTTACTTTAACCTCCATTACACCCTTTTAATTTGACTAAATGCTATAAAATGATTCTGTAATTCATGTCACACCATAAGAAGGACACATGTTTCAACAGAAAGACACTGCAAACTGTTGCAAAGGTTTTGCATTGAAAGCACCCCTGATGTATGAAGCCTTTCCAGTCAAAATGCACATATTTCAGAGATTCTTTAAAGGGGCTATAAGTACTTTCTTCAATGAAACAAATCACTTTTTTATTGCTTGTGGGTGAAGGGCTTGTAACCTCACACAAAAACTATCCACACATTTTTCTGTTACCTCTGAAGGCCAGTATGCCTATTCCGATGTGAAGACTCGATAATGATACAAGACAGGGGCAGCAAGCTACTTTACGTTAGCATGGATCTGCTGATGTTTGCTTCGTAACGTTTAATTTAGATTTATTGTTGTTATAAGAATACTCAGGTACACAGCTTCTTCACCCGTCTTAGTTGGTGTAACTTAGATGACCGACATACAATAATGCAACATAACTTGCAGGACAACACCACAGTGAAAGACCTGTCCACTACAGTAATGTTACTTACTGCGGTCTAACTGTTATAAAGTGTGGCAACAATCTCACCCCAACCGGTCGAGGCAGATGGCCGCCCACCCTGAGCCATGGTTCTGCTCAAGGTTTCTGCCTCTTAAAAGGAAGTTTTCCTTGCCTCTGTCGCCTAGTGCTTGCTCTTGGTGGGAACTGTTGAGCTTCTGTAAATAGCATCATAGAGTATGGTCTAGACCTGCTCTTTTATGAAAAGCGCTGTGAGATAACTGTTGTTGTGATTTGGCGCTATATAAATAAAATTTAATTTAATTTATAATATTCAGTTCAGCTCACCAACCATTTTTGTTATCATCCAATACATTTAGCCATGCTGACATTGCTGAGCTTCTCTGGTGAAAGATAAACAAATAGTTATTGGTAGGCGAACTAACACCGACATATCATGCCAGCTAAATGCAGTTAGTGTAAAGCCGTCATGCAGTGAGCATGGATTAGTTCAACCTCAAGCTGATAAAACTAATACTGTAACGTTGAAATAGGAGTTTATGTGAGCAATGTGAAGCTGTCTCCCGATGTGTCGGTCTTTGTGTCGGATTCTGCTTGCTCATGAGTTCAAGCACGCACACACCTGGTTGTAATCGAAAACCTGCACCGCTAGTGGCTGCTAAAAGCTACATATAGCCCCTTTAATGAAGAAGAGCCAAACAAGATCAAGTCTAGCTGTGATACATTTACTGGTTTATCTGAAACACATTTTAGAATCAAATAACTTTAGTGAAATAACTCTACCACAAAAAATACAATTTTCTCTATAGTAATTTTAAATCACATCATGAAAAGTAACAAGTATCCTTTAACAAGAAATTAAAAAAACTAAAAACAAAATTAAAAACATTAGAATAGATTCACACTACACTTGAGGCTGTGGTGCGGTGTTGAGCTGAGTACTCTGCTATAACTGCGGATACGTAGATAATATACTTTAAGTACAAGTATCATCGGGAAAAAATATATCTAATACTTATACATTGCTCTGAGGCTGTTATGTAAATAGTGTTCTAATAAATACAGTGACTTCTGATCACCCTGTATCATTTTCAGGTTTAAATGAACAACTTCCATTTAATTATTCGTTTTCTGTTTAATCCCCCACATCTGTTTAAGCAACGCCCATTCCAAGTATGGAGTTGGTCGAACAGGTACAGATAATGGTGTACTATATCATCCCTAACATTAAGGTTTTCCGGACTTCCTGTTCCCTTGCCATGTGCCTCATCAAGCCACTCTGGAATATTTCATCAGCCGTTTGCCTCACTGTAAAACTATAAAGCAGGCTCATAGACAAATATATCTAATCTCTGTGAAGCTGGTGAAAGACCTTTTAAACCCCACTTAAGTTAAAAATCAGGTGCTGTTGCAGAAACTCTACCACAGGTTTCAGAATCAAAAGGTTTCACATCTTCAAAAACAAAGATATCAAAGCTGCTCCAACACCTCGGGCAACTAAACAGCTTCACACTCCTGAAATTGATTTTTCTCACTGAACTCCGGGGAAAATGATGTGATACACCTGACTAAAATGAAAAGTCCAATGGCTTGTGCACCAACCCTGATAAGATTTTCATTTTCTGCTTTTATCTATTTTAGATATACGTTGTTGCTTTGAGGGTCTGTGTTGCAGATCATTGCGTATTGTTGTGCCTGTTGTCTTGTTTTTGTGTTTTTGCATCGCATTAGGTTGCTTTGTGTTACGCTATATTGTGCAGTGCTGCAATACAGATGGAAATAATTACAGAAACGGTGTCAATCACTGCTGTTGCACCTAAATTCAAGCTATGTTTACACGACACACAGCACAGCTCAGCCTGTGAAAACAGTTTATTGTCTTCTGTTGTTCTGGAGGAGCGTTCCAAGGTCTGAAAAAATCTCAGCTTGTATTTGGACTACAAATATACAAGCCTTGGTCACACTCTGTGGGTGTGGAGTTGTGAAACACATGGAGGGAGGTTCTGCTCAAATACCCTGTTGTGTTGCATTATGGGAAGTGTAGGATTCAGTGTCTCTATCAAAATCTGTCTTTTCTTTTAAAGGCAGTTCAATACTAATTCACTGTCAAAGTGCCCCTTTTAAATATCTTTTAGGAAAAGCTTGGTAAGCATGTTTTTGCTGTGTACTCATCTAGATCAGTAAGTCAGTGAGTGAATCAGTCAATTGGTGGAATAACTTTACACGGATAGGAAACAGGAAGACACTGACTCGGATCAAACAGACTACACTCTGCGTAAATATGAATCTATTAAAATAATCAAGTCACATATTTACCTGCGATGGACTGGCGACCTGTCCAGGGTGTACACCGCCTTTCGCCCAATGTCAGCTGGGATTGGCTCCAGTCCCCCCGCAACC